GTCCGACGGGTTTAGTGACACGCACAGGTTAGTGGCATTCCAAGCATGCAGGAGAAATAAAACCCACATATTAGATATTTACAAATAGCACCGAAGAATGGAAAGTATGTTCTTTGTAGATGTTTGTACCAGGACTTGTGCATTGAAAAGTTTATTATTGATATCAGAATATGTGGTGCAAATGTGATTTTGTATGGACCTTATACCTTTTTTAAAGAGAAAATCGTAAGTCATGAAATAACTATTTGCGATGGAATCGGTATTTATTTGTTTATTGTTTCTTATAGAGAAAATGTAATTAACCTATCTTCACAGAATCTTTACGAAATGCTTAGATTTGTTATTAAAAACCGTGCACTTTTAATAAAACTATACAAATTAGTAGAAATAACAACGAAAATATACAAAAGATAACACAGGATATCTCATCAAAAACTATAAGTTGATCAGATTAAATGATTTCCTTGTGTGCGTTTAGTTATAAGGGTATGTACACACCAATCATCATAAACATTCAGACATAGTACAGAGTAATACAGACCTTCTCCAGTTCCAAGTCAATATCTTGCGGGTAAATGGACACATTGCCGTCCGTCTCCGCGCTCTGGATATGCGCTTTCAGTTGCCTAATCTAGGAAAAATCAGTCAATTTGTAGTATAGAATTTAAATATTCAATTGTCTAATGGTTAAGAATGATATCCGAACTTGATACTTCGAATCCCGTCATTCGAATAGCATAAACCTAGAGTGTATAGTTTTATGTGCAAAGATCAGTAAATATACAAAAACCTGCTAAATTTTAACAAAAATAAATATTTGATTAAAATTAGATGGTGAAAGAAGAAAAAAACTCTGATAAAAGTTACTCGTCATACTTAATATGTGAGATACTTTACATACTACTACACTAAGTGGTTAATTAGTAGGTAATGTCACATTTAGCAGCTGTGTGCTGTTACTTCGTGGTACCTGTTCCTCGAGGGCTGCGACGCGCTGCGCCTGCTCTGCGCGCAGCTCCTCTGATTGCTGCTCGTACTTCCTGTGTAACTGCTTCATTAACTGCTCCAATGGAGTTGACTGGAAACAAAAAAGTGTTTAATATAAGAACAGTGTAAAATATCTTTTTACTAGTATTATGTATGTTTTATAGTTTCATAGTAATCACTAAAAATGTTTTCATTCACACAACTTCGCACTCAATATCACATACCCACAAGAACACATATGCACACCAGCACACATGTGAGACGGTTTATTTTTCATATAACTACTAATTAACAGCAATTTTAATGTTTACTATAATTTATATGGCGACGATACTTTAGTTTTTTGTTTTGTTTCTGTTAAGTTGTTTGTTTTCTGTTAAGGAGCCAAGGCGATATTGATCCTGTAATAAATGATTATACAATAAAGAATCCTAATTTAATTATTTACTTCGTATGTGAGGGAGGGGAACTCCGCGCTGCGCGTGCGCCGCCTGCAGTCGCCGGCGGCCGCATCCAAGCATTCGGAGGCGGCGCCGCTCGGGGGCGACGCGCACGCGCGCCCGCGCCACACCTCCTCAGAGTAACTGCAATGTTAGAAACCGTATTGTAAATAATTCATACTGTTACATAGAAACATCTGGAAATGCCACATCCTCATACTTTCATATTCAATGAAAAAGAGTAATAAAATAACCTTACCTTTTCTTCAATGGCCTTAGCAGCATAAATACAAAAACATGTCGTTAAATAATTTAATTCCATTAATCTAAATAAAATAGTACATTCGGTAGACGTTTGGATTACCTTCGTTCCATATCAGAGCATTTCTTTTCGAAATACGTTCGTAGATTCTCCATCTCTTTCTCGTGTTTGATGCTGAGTTCCTCTCTCAGCGCGTCGATGTCCGCGTTGCCCGCCTTCACGCACGCCAACAGCTCCCGCAGCCGCCGCGTCTCAATACTATACGCTTGCTTGTCCTGTTGCAATTGTGCTTCCACCTCTTTCATTTCAGTATCAAATTCTATACGCATCTTGCCTATCTCGTCGCACAATACCTGGATAATACTTTCCCGTAATTTATTCCTTAAATTCTCCTCTATATACTCTTCGAATTTATTCAGCAATGTAACCACTTTAACTTCAAAACCGTTCTCAAAATCGTCAGTATCAGAAGATCTTAAATCAGATTTCGAATAGTTAACAGTAATTTCTTCTCTGTCGATATCCTTTTCACCATTAGAGCTTTGCAAGGAAGTTGTGCCACTCATCACGGCGGAGTAGAATTTCGTGGAGTCATCTTTGACCATTGACTGGTATTTGACAAAGTCAGACAGTTGTGCTTTGACTGTGTCGTGTTCAGAGAGCGGGGTCTCGGCGGTGGCATGCTGCAAGTGCTGCAGTTCGCTCACCAGGTGATTCTTGTCGTGTTTGAGCTGGTCCCGTTCCTGGACGGATCGCTGTAACGAGACGGTCAGTTCCGCGATTAGTTCGTCGCGTCGCGTCATCGCATCTTCGAGGTACACAAGCTGAAAGGACAAACAAGCATTCAATACAAGCAATCATACAGGCAAACATTGTATTAACACACTTGCTGTGCGAAAATTAGAAGTGCCAACATACAATAGTTAGCACTAACTGTTTTGTAATTTTTTTTAAATAGTTAGTCTTTTTTGTTTTTCTGAAATTAGAAATATGATTTATTTACTAATTAGAGGACATCAGTGCAGAATTACGAAAGATAGCCTATATAATTGCCGCATGCATTAGCTACATTCCCATTAAATTTGGACAAGCAAAATTGCTTATAGCTTATATAAAATTATATAAACTGAATAGATAAAGATTTAATGGGGTAAGTATTTCAGTAAATAAGTATTCGTTTTGTATATTATTAACAATGGATTGTTTAGATGTAAAAAGCTCACCTTAAACATTATTATTAATAAATATATTTAACTACCCTCATTTAAATTTAAGTTATCCAGGATTGAAAAAATGCATATATCTCATATATAAATGAACTTGAATCAGCCTAATAAAGGATTTTTTTTGCATTTACAAACTAAATTATAGATTATCATGTCTGCCTTGCCCTATATTTTAGTCATCCTAGCAAGGAAATTCCTAATAAAACTCATATCCCTATGTACTAACCTTTTATCTGTGTAACAATTAGTGTAGCAGAGTAAACTCAAAAAGTTAATAATAATACATACACCAAATAATAACCAAAACATGCACACCCCTTAATATACTAACAGCACTTTAGTTCATTTGTATAGTCACCACAGCGTTTTGAACAAAAGTATTAAAAAACAGCACCACTAATATAAATTCTAAATACAAAAAAAAATCAAATAATATTAGTTTTCATGCATTTTTATTCATAAATCACTTAAGTGTCATTTGTTAAATTTTATAACAAGAATGTAGGAGATAGTTAACTTGGTGCAAATAATAAAGTGTAACCAAGCAGGTGAGGTGCGTGATCAGAACCAACAATACACAAAGCAAGAAGACCAGCACAATACACACACAGCAACAACATCCACACACAAGCAGTACCTTCTCTTGATATTCCTCGCATATAGTTTTATAATCTGTTGTCATTGTACTAAGAGAAATTGTTTCCTCTACCGGCATAGATTTCAACTGTGTTGGACACTCTTCATCTTTTTCTTTAGCATTTTCAACGGTCATTTCTTCAATTAATAAATCCTTTTCAGTTTTATCACTCAACAGACTTTCAACCGGTGAATTTTCCGCTGGCTGTTGACTCTTCTCTTCCACTTCATCATAAATCTCCTCCACCTTTACCCCCTCAGAGCCAACTAAAAATGGTGATAACAAATTCTGGAATGCAGGAATTGGGTCAATTTGGCTTTCAATAATCATACTACCTTCTGGGGGTGGACCAAAAATAATTTTTGCAGCCTGCATTGGAAATTTGGGTACACCGTGACCTCTAATATCCAATTTAATTATCTCCTCGGATTCTGAATTTTCTCTAGGACTTTCTTCAGCTTTATTTTCAAAGTTTTTTGATGTATCGGACATGTTATTATCATTTGTTGAATAAGAATCTTGACTGACATCTTCATTCAGTGAATCAAGATATTCACTACAGAGTGACTCCTTTGGACTATCAACTTCATCCATCTTATCGTCCTGCTGTTGCTCGGAGAGATCAGATTTACCTTCATTCTCAAGATCTTCTTGTTTATTTTCAGTATGAATTGGTAAAGATTTTGTATCTATTGATGTAGTCAAATTAACAGGGCTCTCTTTACTAAGGTGAGCATTATTCTCAATATCAACATTCCAAGAAAGTTTGGAAGGATCTTCAATGTTGCTGGTGTCAGATTGTGGTGGAAGAATATTGGAGCTGTTATCTGCAGTTTTGTCTTTCTCAATGTTTAGGTCGTGAGATGTATGTCCCTTATGTATATTGTCCGATACTGTCACGGAATATTCAATTTCAGAAGGAACATGTTCAGAAATTGACTCTGTTTCAGCATCGTCTTTGATATGTTTGGATTTGGCGCCTTCTGTAGTCTGACCGGTATCGAGGACAGATTCCGTTTCATCTCCCTCGACCGTGCTCATGGTGGGAATCTGTTGGGAATGTACGACATCCGGAAGGACATTCTAAAAATATACAAAAAAATAAAAATAAACTCGCGGTGTAAATATTTTACAACGGTAGCATTCTACAAATATAAAGTATAACTATGTTCGCACACTGAACAGTTAGAATTACCGTCGAAGAAACCCTATCCGCAGGTTTTAAAGCGAAGTTTTATGAATTATATCGACGTTTATAAATATCCTCAGGAGCTTTTGTAAAACATTCATAAATAGATGTCAATAAATCAAACACTTGCCTTGTGGTCCGTTGTTTGAGAAGTTAATTTTTCTGTGTCATCCATAATTTAAGTCATTCATATTACAATCACGCAAATAGTACATAGAAAATTCACAAAATACGTCGTCAAGGCGACGTTTTTTTCAAACATAAATGTCGTACGTACACAAGCGCCATTTACGGACTGACATTCCGTTTTTGTAAACAGCATTACACAATTTAAATTTTTTTATGCCAAATAATTTATGACTGATATTGAAAAAATGAAAAATTGCAAGGTATGTGCTTATCATACAGATGTAATACTCCAATTCTATGCAATATTAGTTTTCATTTTCGGAAGTTATTCGTTACCACTGTCATCGGCGATTGCTTTAAACTGGCAACATTTTTAACTTTTTTAAAGTATATTTAAATCACTATCAAAACAAACAAACAATCAAATTCAAAATAAAAAATTAAAATTAAATTTGTATTCAATAATTAAAACACTATTGATGAATCATTTGTACATAGTTTTTATCAAACACTACAGATTTTAAGGTTATAAAGTCAAGGTATCAAAATCGGCAGTTTACAATCTAACTAGGAATTTATTAAAAGATAAATAAAACTAAATTACTTCAAGTATAAGAATAAAAACTTAACGTACAGGTTAAAGCAATGTGGGGATGTTGATGTAAATAAAACTAAAACAAGCTTTATAAATGTCTTTATTTATATTGTACAGTTAAAATAATTTTAATAAGGCCAACGAATGGTTTTAACATTTCTATGCAATCTACATGAATATTACTATTAAAATTGTTCTTAACAAATCATAACAACCGTTTTTGTTCGATTTAATAATATGAAAATTGAAAACTACGATATTGAAACTACTCAACTATTTATTACAGTTTTGAAAGCATTATTCTTCTAACGGCCTACTTCAAATGTATAATTATTCATGCAGAAAGACAGTCATATCCTTCACGCTCTCGGACAAAGCTAAGATTTGATGTTTCAGCTGCTGTAATCCATTCTTGCATTTTGTTGTTATATTCAGCTTTATAAATTAACAAATATCTATAAGAAATTCAAACGCTCAAAATATTAAATTTATTGTCTATTGCCTCGTCTTATTGAAATTATTCTCATCAATCTCTTACAATTATTTATTTTCGGAAAACTGTTTTGAACATTTAGACTATTGTTGAAGTATTTATTTTAAAATAATTTATACATACTTATTGTTTTTTGCCTTAAATCGAAGCGTTATATTGTTATGTAAAATAGTGTCTATTTACCTATGTATTAAAATCATCATGAAAATAGTACAAGATTTTCGTGAGAATTTGAGTTTTGTATAGCTTTGCATGTTAATTTCTCATGAACACATGTAATGTAGTTAGAGAATTAAATTCCCTTCCCTCTTCTCATGCGTGATCGTATGCAAATAACAAAAAAGCTATTAAGCTAGTATGTGTGATCAAGCTTATTGCATAGTGAGCGAAAAATATCATTTCACTGTAATTGCTGGAAATAAGTGGTCGTGGGTTCGATTGTCATTACCACGTCATAAACCAGTGACACAAAATTCTTCAAAGCTTCAGTGATATTGTAAAATTCATTTAAAAAATCGTAAGAAAAAATTATAGAAAAATAAATAAAACAAAAATCAAATGATATCCAGTCTGTATTAAATTGTCATCGGAAGCGATTAGTGTTAGTACATAATGTAAATAAAAAATTAACTCAATTAGTAAATATAAGTTTATAAAGACGTTTACTCGAAAAAAAACAATAAACGCACTTAAGTTAGAAACATTGTAATATATTTTTTAATTCCTATGCCGTAGTAAAGGAATTTTACATAGTCTATACAACATAACTTACATCTCTTCTGTTGTTAATCTATATATACTCTTGTTAAGTCATTACATAATTGCATTTAATATATAAAACTATAAACGTAATGTTTTACAACTTGTCTATGATATAATTTGTAGGTTTATAATTTTGCTTTTCAATTTGGCACAAAAATAAAATATTTCAGGATTTTTCACTTTCAAAGTCATAAGGTTTTTTTATTAATTTGCACATTAGAATTTTCTCTCAATTATAATAATACATATAGCCAAAATATTTCAATCGGCTAATTTCTTAGCCGCTTCTATACTTATAAATTAATTTACAGTGCATTGCGTAGTTGAAAATGATTGGAAGAACTCTTCCGAAGTTCTTGCATTAATTATTCCCATTAAGGCCATCTACATTTAAAAACTATACCTAGAATTTGAAAGAAAACAAATCAACCATGTTTTAATATTGAAAAAGACATGTATTACAAATTACCGACTAGTTTCAGTCAACATGTTGGGGCGAATACATCACACGAGTTAAATTTATAAGTCCACTGTAAGAAGACCTCCCTAAGGATGCGTACACACTACGGATCAGTCGTTACCTTACATCTAGTTGATTGTGAACTAAGAGTTTGCGACGATTTTACACGAGCTAAGTCCTCGCGGCTGAGTGACATAAGTTTGTTGTGAACATAGCTTAATCGTGACAAAACTTTCTTTAATATTAGCTCACAACCTCATGTAAATCGTCATTAAATCCTTAAGGAGGTCTACCTTAGCTGGTCGATTTTTTTTCTTGTCGGCTGTGCAGGACAATACTATGTCCTTTTACTGTAAGTTAATTCATTGAGTAATATCAATTACCCCTACCCTTTATAAAAATCTTATTTAAATTTGGAAGCGCTATCGCATAATGAAAGTATTAATAAATCAATGAAATGTCCAAGCATATTTCCGTAACAGTATTTCGTATCAATTCTAATCAAATTTGTAATTGTAAATATAAATGAACCATGCACATCTTGATTGTAAATAATTTCCTTAACATTAGTAACGTCGCACTGAACATTCGCCGGGCGAGTCCTCGCGAGACTTGACGGGAACACTTTATAGAAATAAAAATGCAAATTTTTCATATAACACACGGATGAAACTCCGTCGTATAAAACTAATCTAACGCACACACGATTTTCTTACAGCCAAGTTCAGGAACACAACGCCTATGGCATAAGTACCAACTTATATACGACATATTGTCTGCGAAAGCTGGAACTAATATTTGATGAAATCCTGAAAAGAAAACAAAAATATTAACCTATTTACAGGTAATATGAAGGGCCTCTTAACGTAATTCTGCATTCATCAGTCAGGATAGCTTTTTTAGCTTGATTAGGGTCAATCAGTTAACAGGGTCTAATTAAAAAAAGTACTAAAACATGCGTTTCCTTTTTTTTATAAAAGAAAATGTGGAATATAGGACTTATGATACTTACTACGAAAAGAAACTTGAAATAGTCATTACAGCTCCTAGATTCATGACCTAAAAACTATGCCAAATATTTCTTGCAAGACAGCTTTGCGATATGTGGTTTATGTGGTTAAAATTTTCCATTACATTTGTAGTGTCATATTGGTAAAAAATATATTTTATCTGGATTGGGAATAAATAATGACAATGGAAAAAATAAATTTTTATATTTACAATTAAATACATTTACAACAATAATAACAAACCAGCTTGAGATGGTCCGTGTTATGTACAGCGAGGCCGCGCTGGCGCTGGCGGGGCGGCGGGCGGCAGTCAGGTGGCGGAGCGAGTCTCCTTGTCCTCTTCCTCCTCCTCCTCCTCCTGCGCCATCAGCTTCCGCGCCAGCTGTAACGCCTGCAATGGGTTAATATGAGAGTTTCATTGTGTATAATATAAAATTCAGTGGGAGTTTTGTGGGTGTAGTTGACTATGCCATAGTCATCCTAGCTCATGGTAAGCACTGAGCCTCTCGGTAGGGATATGTTGCTGTGAAGTTATAATTTATCAATAAAGATACATAAAATTACAATGGAAAACTACTTAAATTGATAGATAGGATAAGAGGATTGGAAGTTATGATGAAAATAGATTATAAAATTTTAGTATTAATTTTGTATGAAATTCGCCGCCGCTGATAGTCTATAATGTTTGTTGATAAACCATAGATAAGAATGATATTTTTCCTGTAACATTTGTAATGATATTATTAGAATGCGAGTTATTTTCACCTGTTGATTGAATCTGTCAAATGGTTGTAATGTTTAGTCAATTACTTTGGTAATAACATTTTAAAGCCTTATTATAAGTACTAGACAATAATGGCATCTACACACAACAGGCATGTGGCCTTACCAAAAACGTGAACAGTTTTGCGTGCGTGACACGCCGTCATTAACACATAACATAATAAAAAGGGTTAGCCATACTTTTATTTATAGAATTGTATGATTATTACGCACAATGTAGTCTTTAGGATAGGCAACCTTCAGATATATCCATTGGTTGATTACATCATCCAAATTGTTACAACTACAAGTATAAGGAAAACATGCAAGAATCATTCAAAGTTAAAAATATTTTACTTCATATACTGCTACTCATAGTTCCTAAATAGTGGCTTAAGCACTTAGTGCAGATAGCACATAATAAATGTTTACTAAACTATCCCCTTAGTGACCTTTTAGTACATGATTGTGGAAAACATTCATCTTCAAGGTTTATTTAATTACATACTAAGAATTCTCAAGTAATTAACTGGCTTTGATCTTATTACATCATATAGTGGAGCTAATAAGTGTGAATAGACAATGTCAGTGCATTCATTTAAATATATGTGGGATGTGTGAATGCGATTTTCCGAACAAAGATGTAAGAGTGAATGATTTATTTTGACTGACGTATAAAAAGACAGAGGGAATGCAGGAGATAGTACAAGAAAGATGTGTAATAAGACGGGAAAAATAGTGAAGAATTTTATCTTGTAAAGTAGGGAAGGGTGAAAAATAAAGCTTTAAACGAAGACGGCTGTTTGTTTTACCGCCCCAACCCTACATATGTATGTCATAGCAAATAGTGTACCCACACAAGCTATTACATGCAGATCTCAATGTATACAATATCAGTCATTATTGTTAATACTGGACAATACTAGTAGTTATGGATATTTTTTTAATACTAGCTTATGCTCCAGACTTTGCGAAGAATTAAAAATCATCTAGTATTTCAGTTGTTTAACTACAGTGAAAGATAAAAATTAAATTTTACCTAATTAGGATAAAATAAAAATCCCAGATCAACCGAAAAATGTAAAAAAAAATGAATGAAATGGTAGCAGACTAAAAAAATGGTAATGGAATGTAATTTTGTTATCAAGTACAAAGCGTAGGCCGCCAGCCACTTGAGTGATAAAATGTGAGTCATCAACACAACTCACATAACACCCACTATAACACTAATTAACCACTTACATCTATCTAAGGGAAGATTTTGTTACCATTTAGATTTTTTTTTTAAATTTTATCTCGTTGAAAATTTCTATTAAATTTCATATACTATAAATTTAATGATTTTTTCTATTATTCTGTAACCCTTTCATTTCAGTTTAACTTTGAAAACATAAGAAACTTTGATTTTGATTTTGGGAAAGACATTTTGCTATGATACTAAAATCTGACTTGAAAATATGTAGATGTAAATATAACCTGAAATTCATTGTAGTGCATTTTCCGTTTCTTTTCAAACTCGAGGCGCCGCTGCCGCACCTCCTCGGGCTCGTCCATCTCCTCGTCGCTGTCACAGGGCTCCACGCACTTGGGCGGCTTGTTCATGCTTGCCGCGAGCTTTGCCGCCAATATGTTTGCGTCCAACTCGTCCGCCGGCTCCAAGTCGCCGTCTATCGCTTCTGAGTAAGGAGTTTTAGGCTCGTCCACTTTCATATGGCCGTAATCTTTGTCGGCAGGATGAAACGTCTCCATAATATTCATTTCGTCAAACCTCTGCTCTTTCGGTCTCTTACTCGTAGAAGGTGCTCCGTCTTGCCCATCGACGCTTCTTGAGGTTTTTAATATACCCTTTGAGGGCTTTTTCTGTAAATTCTGTGCCATAGCGAAAGGTTTACAGTTGCATCTTACAAAATTGAGATTAAAGTTTCGGTATAAGACGATTTATTTTATTTTTCAGCAGATGACAAATACGGCAATTCTACCATTTTCTGACATATGCAATAATGTTGCCATTTTATGACAAGAAAATGAAAGATGAAAATAAAAAAAAAATATTTTTGACATTGTTGTAATGTTACCATTAATTTCACCTTAACCTGGCTAAACCTGTTAAGGGAGATATATAAGTAACTAATTATTGATTGCACGGTACCGTTAAAAAACTCTTTAAATATTACTATTGTTTCCGTAAATACAAATAGTGTGCTAAGTATTTTTTGTAATTTCTTTCACCAGTAATTATCACTTTAATTTTATCAGTGTCAGTTGTCAATTCTTTTGAATATCTTGTCATTGTCAAATGACAATTTCCAATATTTGTTGTTTTTTTACAAATATGTGTCAAGATTCATGATTACAAAATTAAAGAAAGAACGAAGAAGATTAAAGTAGAAAGTAAAAATTTATAATCAAAATGGTTGAAGATTCCGCCTTAAATACTAACAAGCCAAAGGTAAGATCAATAATGGAGTACACTAGTATTGTTTTCAATTTAATGACCTAATTTACATTTGCTAATTACAATTTAAACCATCTTTAGAAGGTTCCTAATGTTATCATTGTTTGCGTTATATAATCTTCTATGTCTGCATGTTTATATCTGCACAGCATACATTAACTTTGTTTTTTATTTTTTATTGAAACAATGCTTATTTCTGATTTCAGACAAAAGCAACAAGGCCTAAAGCAGTGTACTTGTGGACAGAAGCCGACGTACAGAAATGGCTGCGGCGCCACTGCAGCGACTACTACAGCC